TGGCTAAAGGATTTTCTGCTCCTAGCACCTTCTTCATCCGATTAGAATCTTCAGAGGTAGTATAGTAGGGACGAATAGTGGGGGTCAGGACTTTAGATGATACAAAGGAAATTTCAGGGTCGGATCCATCTACGGGTAAGGCTGGAACATATTGGTTGAGAGGGAAAGCAGATAGAACGCAGAAAATGAAAGAAATTTGAACAGCGTGAGGGAAAGCAGGTAGAAGAAGAGTTTTATTGTTAAAGGAGATATATAGGTAATGATTTCGAAATGGGGTATTTAAAACCCCATTGATGGGACCTGAAACAACGTCAGAACAGTACTGTCACTAAGCTACATACTTCCAAACGTTTAATCATACGGCGATCGAGGAATGACGATTGGAAGTCTGGCTGCGGGGGCAAGTTGTTAACTATGAAATATATATAATTAGGTTTTTTCTCAAAACAAAAGGAAAGTGGGCCCATCGGTGGGCCCGGGAATTAGAGTATAAGGCGTCGGTTGTAGTCTGCGTTAGATCGGGTTCGGTTGCCATGCAGGAAAGCACACCCATTGTGAGAGAATAAGGCATCGGTTTGAGGGTTTAGGGTTTACTAACCGATAGTTGGTTGAAGGCACGTGTCATCGGAAGATTGGTTGTTAAGATTAATTGATAGCAGTTTAATAACTGATTTAGTGACGGTTCAGGGCTGTTCCGACAGTTCAGGACGTTGCAGACGGTTTAAGGAAGTTTTGGAGAAAAATTTAAATATCCAAGGGAGTCGGGGAAAAAAACATATTTACTCAATAAATTCAAAAATCACCTGTTGAGGGTCATCTTTTACTTGTTTAATTTTTTTTTTACTTTAACACATTGGAAATCATTGCTTCGAACAGACCAGTACGAAAGAGAATAGAGAAGAGAGAAAAAAAAAAATTAAAAGTGTCTGACCAAATTGGTCGGATGGAAGGAGGAGAACACTCAGTCGGATGGAATGGAAATAGGAGAGAAATCGGCTGATTTGGTCGGATAGAAGATTTAGAGTCATACAGTCGGTTGAGATGGAAACATGAGAGAAAGTGGCTGACTTGGTCAGTTGACAATGACGAGGACCGTCCACTCGGTTGAGATGAAAATGAGAGAAAAAAAAATATAATGAATTATATAAATATATATATTTCTATAACCGTGCAATCAACCCATTTTAAAAATTTATTTTTCATTGATAGAATAAGAAAAAGAAATAAGATGAAGTATATAAATATATATATATATTTATAACTGTGCAAGTAACCAATTTAAAAAAAAAAATTATTTTTTTCCTTCTTTTTTTTTTAAAATATACTTTTCTTTATTTAATTTGATTTTGTATAATTAAAAAACTATTCTCTACAAAATAATATATATATTGATATTTGTAAATATTATGTTATATTAACAAAATTTTGTATTATTTGAAAAAATATTGTGTAATGATATATACATGGATATATTTCAAATCACAAATATAATTTTTAAAATTTCATGACATGAATCTAAATAAAAGTTTAAATATAAATATAATATAAAGAGGACCGGGGGCGGCCCGAGTCGAAGCTATCCCTCGAAAGGGGACGGACGACCCGGGGGTCGGAACCAATGTTCCCAAAAGAAGACGAAAAACATCCCTTACTCAGACTATTCTGACCCCAAAAACAAACCAGCAAGCCGTTAAGGAAACGATATTCCGCCCTATGGACACGACCTGGCTGCCAACAGGGACCCGCTTTCACCTAAGTAAGCATCCGAACCCCTTAGTTATTTTAAAATTCTTCGAATATTTGAGGAATATTTGAATTAATCTTCTTTGAAAGTGTAATATTTTTAAGAAACTTCTACATAGAGGTAAGCGAAGTCGGCTGCTGTGCGGAATTCAAGCGATGGTTGGTCGGCTGCTGTGCGGAATTCAAACGGCGCTGGTCGGTTGCATTAAATCTGTCAGACTCCCCCAGCTCCTGCATTTACTCCTATTTTCTCCCAACTCCTCCCATTAATTCGTGCACTATTAAGTTATTAATTTTTAATTATATTTTGTAAATATTTTAGTGTATAATAAAATTAATTGATGTATTTCTTGAATTATTTTTTAGACATTATTGATGTATTATTACAAAATGATATATATTGAATAAATAATATATTTTATTTTATTAAATATTTATTGTGTAATTTTTAATAAAAAAATTTAATTTCTTGGAAGAAAAAATAATATAAATATATTTTAAGAAAAAAGAAAACAGAAAAAAAAAAATTGACCGATTTAGTCTTACGAAAGAGGAAGAGAATGAGAGAAATTGAAAAAAAAAATAATATAAATATATTTTAGGGAGAAAAGTAAAAAAATGTTGACCGAATTAGTCTTATGAGAGAGAAAAAGAATGAGAGAAAAGATAATATAAATATATTTTAGGAAAAAAGAGAAAAAAATATATATATATTCAACCAAATTAGTCTTACAAAAGAGGTACAAACTGAGATGAAGAGAAATATAAGGTTTTTTTCTGTATTATTAAAAGGATTATTCTATACAAAATTATATATATTGATATATTTTAAATTTCTAAATAAATTTTAAAAATTACATTATATGAATATGAATATATAAATTTAAATAAATAAACCCTTACGAGAGAATGAGAGAATAAAGAAAAAAGAAGATGAAAAAAAAAAAAGAAGTGTCTGACCGAATTGGTTGGATGAAATGAGGAGAACCGTCCAGTCGGTTGGGATGGAAAGAGAAGAGAAAGTGTCTGGTCGGATGAGAATGAAGAGAACCGTCCAGTCAGTTGGGATAGAAAAATGAGAGAAAAAAATATAATAAATTATATAAATATCTATATATATTTTATAACTGTGCAACCAACCAATTTTAAAAAGATATATATTTTTCTTTTTTTCAAATTATTTTTTTATATTATACTTTTGTTTAGTTATTTTTTTATGTATTATTAAAAAATAATTATCTACAAAATAATATATATTGATATATTTCAAATTTTTAATTAAAGTTTAAAGATTACATTATATGAATATGAATATATAAATTTAAATAAATAAACCATTATGAGAGAGAATGAGATAATAGAGAAAAAAAATGTCGAGTAAAACCGTCCACACGGTTGGGATGAAAAGAGAAGAGAAAGTAATATATATTGATATATTTCAAAATTTTTAATTAAAATTTAAAAATTACATTATATGAATATGAATATATAAATTTAAATAAATAAATAATATAAATATAGATATTTTTTGAAACAATTTATATATTATTTAAATATTTAATTTTAACTAAATTAAATATTTAATTCATGTATAAAATGACATATGTATTGATCAATCGTCCAGTCGGGCGCAGATATTTTTTGTTTTGCGTTTCCAACAAACTCGAAAACCCCTGCATTAGTTTCAAATGCATTTTTTAATATATCATAGCTTTAAAATATTATAACTAAATTATTGTATTAAAGTAAATGTTACGATCTACATAATGATATCCATATCAATATATTTTCTATAAGTAAATCACTACAAAATAACAAATGAAATTGGAAAAACACAAACCTCAACAACACCCAATATCCTCAGTATAACCGACAATGGCCTACAATATTACCACTTCGTACAATTGCTCAAAATAACAAATATTACACTATTAAGGACATTTACGTAATAACAGGTAGTCATCCATACAACTTCTCGTATATATATATGTTCAATGATATATATATTAAATAAACGAAAATAAAACCTTTTAAATTATCTAGGGAGACGATCCTACTTCATCTAGATTACATTATTTTTATTTAAATTTTGTAGCGTATGATGAACGTCTATCAATGACTTAAAACATAATAGAAAATATGATAATGTTTGAACATAATCTTCAAGCCAATACGATTTTTTGTCTGGATTAGCTATCGAGGGATAAAATTTAATAATTTTAGTTTAAGAAATTAAAATTGATTAAATATTTGTAATGAAATTAAAATTAATTATTGTAATTTTAGTATAACAAAAAAAAAATAGTCTTTACTTTAAAAAAAAAAATTATATATTGTGTAATTATATGTCCATTTTATTATATGTCTAGCATATATATTTAATCAAGACTTGGTCTTTGGGCTTTTGGGCCGTGGAGCTTGTGAGCTAAGCTTAATTACATTAAAATTCAATTATTTTAATTTTATATATCTATTAACTTATTTTGATTTGGGAAATTCAAATAATATTATGGTTGCTATGTGCGGAAGTAAGTGCGAATTGATAAGAGTAATTTGTTTATTCATTAAATACAAAATAATCTCAAATATAAAAAATGATATAAAAATTCTTTTTCCCCCTTAACATACACACGAAAATATATTCTAAAACACTGGAAAATTCGTTTCCAAAAAAGTGTTTTTAGCTCGATTTATGGAATTATTCGTTTAATAATATGGTGCATAGTTTAATTCGCTTCAAAAAAATCGCATCCTAAGCGAAGTTTGACTTTGAATAAAACATGCGTAATAAATGCCGTGTTGGAGCGGAACTACGACCTTGTGATTTGTTTGATCCAATTGTGAATTGTTCTGTTTTTAGTGTGTGTGTGTGTGAATTGTTTTTGAAGTTGAGATGCTGTTAAAGAAAGGTCTTAAGATGAAAGACCAAGAGAGAATTCGAGAGAGAACTTTGAAGAAGCTTTAAATAGATATTTTGGTCCATATTATATTTATTATTGCCAATAATTAATAAAGACTAGAATATGATGAAAATCGTGTAACCACGAAAACCATGCATTAGTTAGCCTGCCTGATGTTTATGCATCTCCTTTCCATGAAACTTCCTAAAAAACTCAGTCAACTAAAATGTCACTTTCTATTCTATGGATGGACAATAGGAAAGGAAAATGAAAGGCAACCACTAGTGTGTTCTGTGATGGCCGCTAAATCTAATTAAATCAACCTCAACCCTTCTTCTTCTTCCTTCTTCTATGGCTATATATATACATACAAGATACATGCAGAGTCAAGCAAGCACTAATTAATTAAGTTGTGATCATCTGCAAGTACTGCATAAGATATTATCATTCATATTTGCAATTAATTGTAAGCAGAAATCTAGCTACTAGTTGATATATCATATGATTGCCAGAATTAATGTGGAGGCTAAGCGGAGTTGAAGCGCAGAGGATCTTCAAGGAGCTGGACCAGAACGACGATGGTCTGGTCAGTGTGGACGAGCTGGCTTGGCTTGCACAAGGACTGGGACTGGGCGTGGATGTCAAAAGAGGCGATTTGGAGCTCCTCGTAGGCGGAAAAGCCCTCGACTATGCAGACTTCGTCTTCTTCTGCCAGACTCTGATGATGAATAATAATCCTATCCCTGTGGAAGAAGAAGAAGAAGAAGAAGAAGAAGAGAGAGATCTTGGAAGAGCATTTAGGGTTTTCGATTTGGACGGCGATGGATTCATCTCGTCGGAGGAGCTCCGAATTGCGCTGTCCAGATTAGGACTGTGGGACCACCAACACCATGACTGCAGCCGCATGATCGCTGCCTATGACGCTAATTCCGATGGGCTGCTTGATTTCCACGACTTCAAACACATGATGATGCTTCATCAATCTCAATCTCATCTCAATCTCACAGATAATTAATGAATTAACAACCCTTTCACTTCATTTTTGACCAAATGATCTCTCTCTCTCTCACACACAACAGTAAGAAACACTCGCCCAATTCTTTTACCAAAATAACAAACAGTTGACAGAAATTGGAAACCATCCACGCCGGCATTGAAACATCTGTTAGGATTAAAAAATAAACTAAATTTGTCAAATTATAATTAGGGTACAATCTAATATATATACAAGAGATATATTAGCCCGGGATATATATCTAAATATATACAATATATATAAATATCCCCTCAAACTCAAGGTGGAACGGTGGAACGGTGGAACTCAACTTGAGTTTACTTAAGAATGACTGAAAACGGCCGGGAAGAAGCCGTCGGCAGTCTGATCAGCAGAAGAAATGGGAGACAAAGAGATGTTGTCATGAGCAACGTGATAACGTACAAGGTAACAATCGATCTCAATGTGCTTCGTATGCTCGTGGAAGACATCATTCGTCGAAATCTTCATGGCGTTCTGACTGTCGCAATGAATAATAGTTGCAGAGGACTAAGGCACACCGAGATCAGCCAGCAGCCAACGAAGCCATAGAAGCTCGGAAATGTTGTCGGCAAGAGCTCTATATTCGGACTCCGCACTGGACCGAGAGACGACCGTTTGTTTCTTGTTGCGCCAAGAAATAAGCAAGTCGCCAAGGAAAAAGCAAAACCCGGTGGTCGAGCGGCGATCAGAGGGATCTCCCGCCCAATCAGCGTCAGAATACCCAGTCAAAACCAATGAGGAACGAGCTGAATAATGTAGCCCGTGGAGGAGAGTTCCTTTGATGTACCTGAGAATCCGTAGAACAGCATAATAATGAGTCGTCCGAGATGCAGACATAAACTGACTGACGATATGGATAGCATAGGCAATATCAGGTCGAGGGACAGTCAGATAGATCAGACTTCCCACCAGCTGACAATACAAAGTAGGATCATCGAGGGGGACACCATCCATCGGAGTAAGACGACAATCAGAATCTAGAGGCATAGGAGCAGTCTTGGAGTCAGTGAGACCGGCACTAGACAAAAGGTTGGAGGCATACTTGGCTTGAGAGAGATAATATTCGTCGGAGGTGTCGGAGATCTGAAGACTAAGAAGTACCGAAGAGGCCCTAAGCTCTTCATCTCAAAATAGCGGTGTAGATGAGCCTGAAGCTCAGAGATACCGAATGCATCATCTTCTGCAATGATTATGTCATCCACATAAAGTAGCAAAACAATACTTCCAGCTAACCCATGACGAAGGAAGAGAGCCGAATCATGATCGTTGGAAGTAAAGCCAAGCTGGAGCAGAGCAGAGCTAAATTTCAAAAACCAAGCTCGGGACACCTGTTTCAAAACATACAGAGCACAACGAAGTTTACATACCTTGGAAGACATAAGAAAACTAGGATGAAACATATAGATGTTCTCGGATAAATCATCATGCAAGAACATATTCTTGACATCGAACTGATGTAGAGGCCACCAATGAGCGGCAACGATAGCTATAAGACAACGGACGGAGGTGAGACGAGCAACCAGGGGAAATGTCTCCTCATAATCTATACCATACTGTTGGGTGTAGCCTTTGGCTACCAAACGAGCCTTGTAGCGCTCGATGGATCCATCAGAGTGAGTTTTGATTCGGAATACCCATTTATAGCCGATAGGTTTCTTGCCAGAGGGAAGATCAACCATATCCCATGTATGGATTTTCTCCAAAGCCTGCAACTCCTCAAACATAGTCTACCGCCACGACGGATCCCCATACGCCTCACGAAAGGACCTGGGCTCATGGTAGGACAAACTGGTAGAGAAGCAGTGATAATCGATTAAGTGAGTAGGGGGATGACTAACCCGAGTGGAACGGCGAGGGCTAGGATCAGGGTCCGAGGTCGAAGTAGTGTCAGACTCTGGTAATGGTGATGGATCAAAGTCAGAAGTAGTAGTAGGCTCGGGGATCAGCGTCAGTTCAGGAGGCGCAACCGGGACAGCGTCAAGAGCGGGGGACGGAGCCGCATCGTCGGAAAGAAATAAAGGTGGAGAGAACAAGGTAAAGAATGGAGACGAACGATCAAAGGGGACTCGAAAGTGGGACAAGGTAGAGAACTTAGTATTCTCCCATAAAGTGACATGACGAGAAATACGTAGCCTATTGGAAATGGGATCCCAACAACGATAACCCTTATGCTCTAACCCGTATCCTAGGAAGCAACACAGACGCGCGCGAGGTTCCAACTTAGTGCGCTCATGAGGAGGGAGGAGGATAAAACTGACACAACCAAAAGGACGGAGAAGACTATAATCAGGAGCTCAATTAAATAGTCTTTCAAATAGACTAACATTACCCATGACAGAGGAAGGGAGATGATTTATAGTGTGGACAGCTGTGGGTGCGGCTTCCCCCCAAAAGCGATCCGGACAAAAGGCAGATAAGAGAAGGGTGCGGACTGTATCGAGGATATGACTGTGTCTATGTTCGGCATGACCGTTTTGTGAAGAGGTGTACGGGCAGGAGCGTTGGACAACCTTACCCTGATCAAATAGGAAACGAAGGAAGGAAGAATCAGTATACTCAAGAGCATTATCTGTGTGGAGAGTTTTTATGGTGGTGGAAAATTGGGTATGTATCATTTTAGCAAATTCCGTATAAATAGAAAGAAGTTCAGAATGCTGCCGCATAAAGTAAATCCATGTAAAGCGAGAATAGTTAGTAAAACGATGATGTCACTGAAGGCAGGATGGTGTAGAGGTGGTGGCAGCCGAAATAGAGGGACGAGGGAGCTGAAGTGACTCAAGCTCAAATAAGCGGCCCGTCTTCCGGCCCTTCCCGGGGGTCTGCCGGTTTGCGCATCCTAAACCTGCACACCAGTCGATCATAAGGATAATAAATTTGTGAATGAATAAATTTTCTATTATAATAAATTATACGTAAGTTAATGGAAAAACATGTTGTATAATTATCCTGAACAGAGAAATTATTTTATAATTTAATTATATTAAAATGACAGTGACAAGTTATTTATTTTTTACCGACATAATTTTCAACTAAATTATAATGTTAAAAATTGCTTATAAAAATATAAATAGACACCACTAATATTATATATAGACATCAATTTTGCAATATCTATACTATAAATCTATCAATTTCAAATATATGGAATATTAAAATAATACTGTGAAATATTTTAATTTATTCAAATAATTCTCGTATTAAAATGTAATATATTTAACAACAAAAATTAATTTCACAATTCAATAAAATTTATAACTACCCATGCATAGGACATCTCTCCTCTCACATATACATATATATGAGCAATTAATACAAGTATAGAGAGATGACATTAAACCGAGAGAGAGAGAATTTATGGATTTTTTATTACAATGTGTATTTTCAAAGTGACTTGACATAGCTATTTATAGGAAGGGTAACGATGGAATATGGTCAATATTACACCACAACAATTATACATATCACCTAGGTAGCAATTACATAATTGATATCGACAAGCATCCATTCTTAGGAATTGTGTATTACAATACTCCCCCTTGGATGCTTTAAACAAAGATTGTGTCTCGTTAAAACTTTAATATAAAAAAAAAAAAAAAAAAAAAAAAAACCATGTGGGAAAAAATGATAGTGAAGGAAAAAGAGTACACCATTCTTGTATTGATTTGCTCCCCTGACTTGGACTTTACTTGAGATCTTTAAGCTGACTCATTCCAATTCATTTTACCAATTTGTTGAATGTTGTTGTCGGTAAGGCCTTGGTTAATAAATCTGAAAATTTTTCAGATGATCGAATTTGTTTCGCATCGATTTCGCCATTCTTTTGCAAGTCGTGGGTAAAGAAAAATTTTGGGGAAATCTGTTTTGTTCTATTTCATTTAATATATTCACCCATTAACTAAGCAATGCAAGTTGCATTGTCTTCATATATAGTTGTTCGGGGATTTTCATTTCTGATATTAACCCACAATTCTTTTTAATATAATGGGTCATTGATCTAAGCCAAACACATTCTCGACTCACTTAATGAATAGCCAATACTTCGGCGTGATTTGATGAGTGACAGTTATTGTATGTTTTGTGGATCTTCAGGAAATCACAGTATCGCCATATGTAAATATGTAAATATATAGCCAGTTTGCAATTTTGCTTTGTGCGGGTCAGACAATTACTCAGCATCGGCATAGCCTAATAACTCATGTTGAGAAGTATTCGGATAAAATAGGTCAAGATCATTTGTTCCTTGAAGATAGCGCAAAACATGCTTAACCCCATTCCAATGTCGTTTAGTAGAAGATGAACTAAATATGACCAATAAATTTACTGCAAATGCAATATCTAGCCTTATGTTATTTGCTAGGTACATGAGTGCACCTATTGCACTAAGATATGGTACTTCGAGACCAAGTATCTCTTCATCATCTTCTTTTGGTCTAAATGGATCCTTGTTAGGATCAAGTGACCTGACAATATTGGGGTACTCAATGAATGTGTTTTATCCATATAAAATCGTCTTCAATACCTTCTGGGTATAAGCAGTTTAGTACATGAATATTTTATTATCCACATATTCAATTTGCAGACCAATGCAGAACTTTGTCTTTCCAAAGTCTTTGATCTCAAATTCCATTTTCAGATATTCCACGGCTGACTTGAGCTCTTCAAGAGTCCCGATAATATTGAGATCATCAACATATACTGCAATTATCACGATTTTTTACTCATTTTTCTTTATGAAAACACATGGACATATTGGGCCGTTAGTGTAACCTTCTTTGGTTAAACACTTAATGAGGCGGTTATACCACATGCGTCCAGACTGTTTAAATCCATACTAAGACTTTCATACTTTGATGGAATAACATTCTTTGGGATTTGATTTGCATGATTCAGGCATGTTATATCCTTCAGTGATTTTTCATGTAAATATTATTTTTCAGTGGCCGTACAAGTAAGCAGCAACTACGTCCATAAGGCGTATATCAAGTTTTTCATGCACTGCTACG